AGCCATCGGTGGTCACTTTTCTAATGAGCGAGAAAATATGTAAAATGACTTAGAAACTACTCGTCATCTTCATCACATAAGTGAGAAGCTATCAATAACTTTATTTTAAATAAATAGAAATTCAAGCAATCATCTCAAATATAATAAAATAAAGTATTTGATAATTCAATCATCCATAATATGACATTTTCAACATTTTCTTTTATCATTTTTAAGTAGTTAAAATAGGTTCAAAGATTACCCAAATTTTGTAAGAATTTCAAATTTTTTTTTTATAAGTTTTACTTCTTTCAATCTCAATGAAGGCTGATTATGTTGGTTAGAAGAAAAGGAAGAAGCAATTATTCTTGAGCTCTTTTTTAGTTTTGTTGTCCAGATTATGGTTTCATGATAAAATTAGTTTCGTTTTACTTAATCCAATATTCTTATTCTTTCGGGGTCCAATACCTATGTTCTTTCATCGATAAACCAACTGTTCTATTTGATTTCCCACTCTATCGCCAACAAATAGAAACAATACAAAAACACAATCTGTAATATCATGTTATTCTTATCAAATACATAATCATCCAACATAATTTTTATATTTTATTGTGTCACAAAACTAATTCGAGTTACTATTCATTACCAATGCCAAACAAATACATATTTTGCATTTATATTGGTTATATCTAAAATTTTAGGGTTAGTATATGAGCTATTTTTTTAAGGAAGGATTTGGATGGATTGGTTTTAGTTGGTGGTTGGTGATATTGGGTGTAGTTGATGGTAGCAGATGATTGTTGAGGTCCCGTGGTCGTCTAGATAGAAGCTTGGTGATGTTTGGTGGCTAGTTTATTTAAGAAATGGGGTAGAAGAAATAAGAAAAAAAAATTAAGTGGTAGTAAGAATCTATAGGGGCCTTCGTAGTCGGCCAGTGCAAACAACAACTAAATTTATGTTTTTTACATGAAGAGGGATGGCAAATGATGATTTGAGGGTTTGTGTCTAGTGTTGATTGATGAAAAGAAGTGGTTGTGCTAGAAGAGTTATGATATTCGGGTAAGAATAATGAAAAGATTATGATGTTCAAGTGAGGAGAAAAGGAATTTTTGGATGAAGTAGAAGGAAGGGAAGCTCGTGTGAAGAAGAAGGAGAAAGTTCCAATGAGAAGGTGATTGAGCTTCGAGTAAGAGTGTGGTTAGGCTACAATCAAAGAAGGAGGGGGCTGGTTGTTTGGGTGATGACTCGGTGACTAAAATGCTAGTATAGAAGGGCTACTAAAGATTTTTTTAATGGGGAAGATCAACGTGGATGGGCTAAGGGTGGTGGTTTGTATGGCTAGCATGGTGTTGGTGTCTTACGTGGAAGTTGAAGATGGTAAGTGTAATGAAGATATTAAGGTGTTTCATTCAAAGATGGAGGAGAGGGTTGGCATTTAAGTGAAATGAGGAAATGGGAGATATGGGAAGATGTTTCAATCAAAGATGGATGATGAGGTCTGTTCGAGTGAGATGAACAAATCGTCGCTATAATTTTTTCAAGACACCGATGAATAGTGCGGCCTTTTTTAAAATGGGAGAGAATGTGAGTATTTATACGAAAAAATTAGGATTTTAGGTAAACATTGATTTTGGTGTCTAATTCCTCCTAATTTATCAATTTAAGTACAATATTAATTATTTAAACTTCAATAGTATCCCTAAATTATAATTAATCAAGACCTTTTCTTTTAAATTTGGTTTCAATTATACCCTTTCTTTCTTTTAATTAAGTGTTTGGGGTTTTGAACTTTTCAATTACACCCTCAATTGAGTTTTTTTTCCTAAACTTCTTTTTTTTTTAATTATACCCCTAAAAATAATTTTAGCCAATTATTTTAAATTGACTTCCTTTCTCTCTCTCTCTCTCTCTCTCTCTCTCTCTCTCTCTCTTTCCGAATAAAAAAGAAAACAATATGAGTGAAAAATTAGGTACTTATAACTACCTTCTCTTTATAATGATTTTGTTACAAAGTCATTGAAAAGCCATTATTTTTGTATTAAAGGTTTGTAAAAAAAAAAACAAGAATAAAACGAAAACACACATCATAAGTAATAGGCAAACACAAAAAGCAATAATCAAATTTGAATGACAGTGACCATTTGATCAAATAAGGTTGAATTAAAAACATGGGACATGTAAAACTGCGATGGTGACGGACCATATAGATTAGAAGGATATGATAGACCACGGTGATTTAAAAGGACATGACAAAACACTCTCACTTAAAAGGATATGAAAGACCACTTTAATTTTTACAAGACGTGACGGACCACTATAGTTTGACAAGATAAACTACTTTAACTTTTTAAAATATGATAAATCACTTTGACTCTACGAGACATGACAAACCACTCTAATTTGGCAAGACATGATAGGCTATTCTAACTCTACAAAACTTGAAAGACCACTTTGATTTGGTAAAACATGACATACCACTCTAATTCCGTAAGACGTGATAGACCACTTTGATTTGAGAGGATATGATAAACCATTCTAATATGGTAGGACTTAAACCACTCGACTCTACAAGACATAACAGAACCACTTTGACTCTACAAGATATGATAGATCATTCGACTCTATAAGACGTGATAGGCCATTTTAACTCTACAAGATATGATATATCACTCTAATTTGGTAGGATGTGACAAACCATTTTGAGTCTACAAGATGTGGTAGATTATTCTAATTTGGTAGGACATAACAAACCACTCGACTTTACAAGACATAGCAAGCCATTCTAATTTGATAGGATGTAACGGACCACTCGACTCTATAAAACATGACGGACCACTCTAATTTAACGAAGTGGAAAACCACTCGACTCCCTAAGATGTGATAGAGTACTTTAATTTAACAAGATGTGATAGACCACTCTAACTTTGTAAGATATGATATACCACTCTAATTTGGCAAGATGTGATAGACCAATATGACTCTGTAAAACGTGATAGGTAACTCTAAATTAGCAAGATGTGATAGACTACTCTTATTTAAAAGAATATGATAGATCACTCTAACTTTGCAAGATATTATAGACCATTCTAATTTAGCAAAACATGATAAACCACTCGACTTTACAAGTTATGACAAACCATTCTAATTTGACAGGATATGAAATCCATTTTGACTTTCTAAGACACGACATATCACTCTAATTTGGTAGGGCATGATAGACCACTATGATTTGACATGATGTGACGAGACCACTCTAATTTGATAGGACATTACAAACCATTCGACTTTAGAAAATATGATAGACCATTTTAATTTGACAAGACATGACAAATCACTCGACTTTGCAAGGTGTGACACACCATTCTAATTTGATAAGATTGAAGAATTATGCATCTTATGAATGTGTGAAAAAAAAAATTTCTTCCTTCTAAGCTTTTCAAGATTATGCTTGTTGAATCAACTAATCATACATTAACATGAATATAAATATGAATGAAAAATTACTAATTAAATCTAATTCAAACCTAATTAAAATTTAAATAACAAATAATTAACAATTTGCAATATAAAGAAAATTTAAAATGAACAAATTAATCAAAATTAACTATATTAATTTAAACCTAAATCAAATTAACTTAATTAAATCTAATTCAAACCTAATTAAATTTTAAATTACAAATAATTAATAATTTGCAATATAAATAAAATTAAAAATCAATAATTTAATAAAAATTAGCCTAAATAATTTAATCCTAATTGAAATTAACCTAAGTAAATTAACTCTAATTCAAACTTAATTAAATTTTAAATAATTATTAATTTATAAATTAACCTAATAATTAACAAAAATAAAAAATTAACATATTAATCAACCAATTAATAATTAAATATAAACAAAATTAAAACTTAACCAATTAATTAAAAGTAACTTAATAATTATAGAAAACAACACATTTTCAAGAAGAGAGAGAGAGAGAGAGAGAGAGAGAGAGAGAGAGAGAGAGAGAGAGAGAGAGAGAGAGAGCTTACTTTTGGAGACGGCGGAGGAGACGAAAGAGATAGAGAGGAAGGAACATATTCGGAGCTTTTTAGAAAGAAAAGAGTTTGGAGTGGGTGGAGATTGCTTGGGAGTGGAGGAGTGCGGTTTTAGGTGGGGATTGTAGGTGGCGGTGAGAGGAGGAGAAGGAGAGGAAGAAGAAAATGAGGAAAGAAAAAGGAGGATCCGATATTTAGGGATTTAGAATTAGCGACGGATGTGATCCCGTCATTAATCTCAAGTGTCCGTAGCTGATTTTGAATTTGAAGAGTTTGCACTTTTTTTCAATATTAGCCACGGAATTCATCGCTAATTTGTGAAGGAATTATGCAATTAGCAATAGAAATTCCGTCTCTAATCCTAAACCCAAAAATAACGATGGAATTAAGTTTCTATTGCTAATTCCCCTTGTAATTTCCTTGCTAATCGTCTCTAAAATACCCATGAATATTTTATTTTGATATTTAGTATCCGTTGCTTGGGTGTCCTGTAGCTGAAATTCACATATTGATAATAATCAATGTTAATTCGTTAATCCATCGCTATTTAACAATAGACTACAATCCGTCGCTAGTATCTGCCACTCTTTAACAATTTTTTTCCAGTGTATTCAAAACACAAAATAAGATTAGGATAGTTTCCCGCAATGTGGGATATAATGACTAGTTATATATATAATACAATTAAGTAGTGTACAAGAAACCTTATTTCTACTAAACTGTGACGCCGACAAATCATTGCCAAAAAAAATACCTACTTGAGGTTTTTTTCCAAATTTAATATGGCTTATATGTTACCAAACCCAAAATTAATTAGAAAATCAAACTATGACTTCACAACTGAACATGTTAATAAATACCATGTTATAATTTTCAAACTTCATCATTGACAATTTCAAGCCTCATAATTAACAAGCAGGCATCTAAACTTCCTTATATATCCTCCTTAATTTTGTTGAGCTTTCCAAGAATGAGTTAAAGAAATGAGGATTATCTTAAAAACTCTTTGCTCTGTACTTTTTCTTCTTTTTGTAGTTGGTATAAACGTGAAAGGCCGCTCTCTACCACACAGCCCAGTTGAATTCTTGGTTTCAGATGGCGTCAATAATGTCCAAGAAAACCAATCTTCCATTCTGCTTCTCAAAGGAATGGAATCTTCTTCTGAAGAGAAGTGTGAACAATTGTATGGCTTCTTACCGTGCTCCAATAATATTTTTGGGCATCTCTTTCTGATTGCAGTGTATGAGTATATGCTGTTTCATGGAGAGGCCTATGTGGCCTCTGGAGGAGAAAAGATTTTCAAGATTCTTGGACCTGGTGTCTTTGGTGCCAGTGCATTTCAGATTCTTGGAGCCCTTCCCGAGTCCTTGATACTTCTAGGTAAAGTCTTTTATTTTCTGTTTATGTTCTAATTATCACTTTAATTCACTTGTGTCCTTTTTCTGAAATTATATAATTAATGTGTTCTCTGAAAAAGATTACGTTCAACTATATATAAATTAAGAGGCTTTTCATAATATTGGTTTCTAGCTGCTAGTTACAAGAGCCTGAACTACCATGAATTCAGAATTTTCGAAGCTTGAATTAGCAATTTTAATTAATTGCTGACAGTCTGACACAGATCAGCACTTCCCAAATCAACCTAAATCTTGGAATTTTATTGTTAGTTATCGATTTAGATGCAAATCATTTGCATTACAGACGAATAGACAAATGTATATAAGAAAATCAATTTTGTGATGTTACTCAAGTTATCATCTGTCGTGCAATCCACTTAATATGAAAGCTGTCAATAAATTGTAATTCAACTAGTATTAGTTTATCATCTTTTTTCTTTTTTAAGAGGTATTAAGTTTGAATTTCTAACTACTCAATCTTAAATCCAACCCGCCTTCCCTAATTTACTAGATTGTGAAGTACTCGTTTCTAAGTACTGTATATATTTCTTTTTCTGGAATAATTATTCTATGTTTTTCCCATATTAACCATGTATATTCTGGATTAGATTTCTTTCTTTCTTCTGCTTTATACAATAATTTTTTGGTATGAATTGTCCTAGAGAAATTAAATTGGAAACTTGTACAATAAGAAATTGGGTCGCGTGCAATAAGTATATATGTGCACATCATGGAAATATTTAAGATAAATACCACCAGACCAAATAAAAAGGGACCACAGAGCATTGTGCCAAGTCAGCTAGGATATGGTTTTAAGCAGCCCATAGGTAGGAATGGCAAAATGACCCAATCCAAGGGTTAGATCACCCTGTCCTCTAATTTTTTTGAACGGGGATGGAGTGGAGATGGGATTTGCCTACCCCGTTTCGTTTTGCTTCATCAACAATGACTTATAGCGGAGTTCGTGTGATTTGATCTCTTGCTTGGGAAATAAAATTATGCAAATTGTATGTACTCATTATAAAATCTATCAAAACGGGACAAAATATAAAGGGATAAGGTGGACACAAATAGTAAAACGAGATCCCATTTGCTCCGCGTGGATCCCCATTCCACAATTTGGGATGAGCATGGGATGATAAATTCTGCCACGTTTGAGACACGGGGTAGAGATGGAGAATTTTTTAAGAGGGCGGGGATGGAGATGGCGATCCTCGGCTTGCCCCATTGCCATCCCTACCCATAGGCATTGGCTTGTTGGGAGGACCTTTTTTTTTTTTTCATTTGATTAATTTGATAGGAAAATGACTATTTTATATTGAAACTTACTACGTACATAATGGGCAACTTTTTGTTCTTGGAAATTTCTCAATTTAAGTCTCCGCATCAATATCTGTTATGGGTTCCGTACTAATTACTTGTCCTTTATGATAAGAGAAAAATGACGCCGTTTTGTAGGAGAATGACATTTGGGTTAAAAATTTTGTGAAGAATTTGGCCGAAAATGGAATGTTCAATTAAGGACTATTTCTGATTTGAAAACCCAATTAACAGAGAGAAAAAAAATATTTGGGGAGTTAATTGAGCTATGGGTTAGAGACTCTTCTCCCATGCCAGAATTCCCTATTTAATAATAATTTATGGATGGATTGAAAAGTTAGATGTCACCCAAAAAAAAAAAAAAACCCACAAGCCTATATTGAAAAAAAAAAAAAGAATTCTTTAGAAATCTCATATGGATAGTTGTGTAGAAATTAATTTTAAATAAATTATACATAATCATATATCGGTAAACGTAAAAATTGTAAAGGGGTTTAAGAAGAATATATATATATATACACACTCACACACAGACTTAACTTTTTTCTTTATCAATTATTTATTATTATTCTAACAAATGGCAGCATCTGGATTATTGAACACAAGAGAAGTTGCTCAAGAGTACGTGTATACTGGAGTGGGACTACTGGCAGGAACATCTATTTTGCTTCTAACACTACTTTGGGGTACTTGTGTCATCGTCGGCAGCCAATCGTCCTCTTCAAGCATTTCAAAGCCAACCATTAATTCCAATCTCTCTAATTCAAGACTGTTATCGTGGTTGAATGGTGCGTCCTCTCTTTTATTCATCTTATTAACACTAGTCATCATTAAATTTTCTCAAAATCAAAGAAACAGACATCAATCCGAAGTGCATCCATGCGTGTATGAACGGTTATGATAAAGGAAAAAAAGAAAAAGAAACAAGAAATGGAAGGCTTTATTTTGCATCCACAAGTCTCCAGAAACAAATAGTGTTCAATATTTATTTATTTTCTTTTGGAAGAGGGATGAATAAATAGAATTAAAGAAAAGAACACATTCAATCAAATCAACTATCATCTGATGATTAAATTTTAGTTTTAATTATGATTGTTACGTTGCCTTAATTAATCCAAATCAAATATAATCTGAGGCTAAAATTGATACAACCCCAATAGTTTGGGAGTATGTTTTGATTGTCTGCCAAAATTAAATACAAGATCAAGTCACAATTCCACCATATTTTCTTTCAATAAGCATTTTATTTAAACTTGCCATGCATCTACTTTTTTAGAGGAAGATGAACCTCAAAGTCAATGGATGTGTTTGGATTATTTTAAAAAATAAAATAAAATGAATTTTACATATAATAATAAATTTCGTTTTGTTTCTTTATGATTATTTGATCTCGTATTTTTCTAGGTTTTACTTATATTTGTAATTTAAAAACATAATAGTTACAGTTTCAAATAAATGTTTGGTAAGAAAATTAGTGTTCTAATACTTAACTTTAGAGAGTGAAAGATGAATTGCTTATTTAAAAAAAAAAATGAGAAAATTAAATATTACATTATAAAATTAAAGTTACAAAATTAGCAACTTTATTTATTTATTTATTTATTATTATGTTATTTTGCAATATTGCGATCGTTATTGTTCACGTTCTCAACCTTGCAATAAATTAGTGTTCTAATACTCCCATTTGCATTTAAAGCAACTTGAATTTATTTTTTATCATAAAAAATATGTACATAATGGTGGATGTTTTTTTATGAATAGTAGATGGATATTTTTTTATATATATTAGTTTAGCTATTAAAAATCTTAAAACCAAGTTATGTCTTTTTTAATCATTTTAATTCAAATAAATTAATTCACAATACAGCAAGATAAAACTAAACATTTTAATTGTTATTCGTTTCGTAATAATACAACACAACGTAATTAATTAAGTACATATATAGAACACCTAAGATTAAACAGATTCTTTATAATCAAAATTTCGATTTGAGTAGATCCACGTACTGGTTATCTTAAATCAAACTGCAACATAACTCCATTCCACTTAATTTACAAAAATACTCTTCACATTATTTTACTGGAGAAGACAGCGATGCATGGCCTCACAAAATGTTGTTTTTCAAATATTTTGATCATCATTTCCACTTAATTAATTAAAGTGACAATCCCCAAAACTCGCAGTTTAATATTATTTAACATATAATTTAATTTAAAGAAATTTTTTTGGTGGTTAAGAAAATTTCAAATCTTAAAACTAGTAAATAAAAAATAAATTCGATATGAGTAGAACGCTCTTTAGATCTTTCCGTTATATATATATATATATATATATATATATATATATATATATATATATATATATATATATATATATATATATTTGATTGAGGTATAAATTAATTCAAAAATATCTCTACTGTTAAAATAATAATATTGATCATACTATGAACATCCTATAAAATTGAATAATACAGAAAGAAGATTATTACATGTAACTTTGTTAAGGCAACTTTAACTATAATTGTTTAAAATTAATAGGTTGGTTAATGTGTTTTATTCCTCTTGTTTTCTCTTGTTAATCTTGTAGAGTTTAGCGTTACTACGGATTTGGAGACAGGCTACACAGCAAGGATCATGGGTCTTTCTGTCATACCATTTCTTATTCTGCAAATCCCAAAAATTTTCAACTCATATTCTGGGGAATATATGACGATATTGATCTCTCTTGTCGTTTCCATAGTTTCTCTATTGCTATATTTCTTCTACCAGGTATATATCCAAATGTCTCTCTCTTTTTTTCTTTTCTTTTTTTTAATTTCGTAAATAGTTGTTTCTTTTTTCTTTTTCTTTTTTTCAGTGTTGAATTAAATCCATAGTATAATTATAAAATGATATTGGTATATTATTGTAATAAATTTCGAAGGTTTTTATATATTAAAATAAAATTGATTTGTAGGGCAGTGTTTGTTAGTTTTACTGGTATTTTCAAGAAATGCTCACTACAAGTATATATATTATGTAATTTCATTTCGTGTAATTTCTATTATTATTTATGAAATCAAACTAACTTTATCAGCATAGATATTATTACAATTTTCAATATGATATTTCTTTTCTTTTAATTAAGATATATTTTACTCCATAAGCAGTGAATACTAATTAAAAAATATAAAATCATTGCATCAATCATATATTTACACCTTATAGAACTCTTAACAATTTCTTAATATGTCTCCTCCACCCTATTTTCAATTTAGTTAGTCCATCTATTCTAAAAATCTTTTTAAATATCTGGTCTTCGGATCCATCCAATTTCCTTCTAATCTTTTGTTAATTTTTTACAACATGTCATTAAAAATACACACGTGTGTCGCTTATGTTGGACCCCGTCTCAAGAATTAATAATAAATTTGATGGAAGGATGCTATTAAAAATATCAAAAGTACAAACACTAAATATAAGATCAATCCTAATTATTTTTCTGGGTAGCTAAACCTAAAGTATTACTAGGGTTGGACACCGAGTTTCAAATATTGTGATTAATATTTATTGGTTAAACTCAATTATTTTGTCTGCATAATTTGTAATTTTTGCACAGATCTTTGAACCTTGGATTCAAAAGAGAAGACTGGAATATGTAAAACATGAACAATTGCTTCTAAGAATTCTACAACACGTGCAAGAACATACTGTAGGGAGAATTTTCACTGTAGATGGGGCTCCAAATATAAATGCTATAAAAAGGTTAGTTTTCATTTACATACCTCATGCATTATTATTAAACTTAATTTATGCTATGGATTTTGTTTTTTTCAAAAAAAGAAGATGTAAATCCCTTTTGCGGAGTTATTTGACGAAATAGATAAAGATGGTGATGATTGTATATCGTTTTACGAAGTAAGAGAACTTCGCTCGAAGTAAAGTCTACGGGGATGAATATGGATAAAGACGAGCATCGAAGAATTAATAAAAATATTAGATTTGAATGA